AAGCAGATATTCAATTTCTGGAAATAGCGGATTGGTGTGATGGGTCGGTTGAACCAAGGTCCCTGTTCTGTTTGGGAGTCGTCTGCAAGCATATATAAGATTAATCAGGAATTCAGATTATTTTAATTGATCGTCATAGATTTTATTTATTCAAGGTACTTCTGATCATCAGCCTAACAACTATTAATAATTGCTGTATATTAAAAAAAGTTATCTAATATTCTACATTGTTTAAGTATTTACTCAATATGACTGGGCAACTGTATACTCCTCACAAATGAAATAAGTATAGCTTAACAGTGTTTATATGCAAAATCATTGGGTAATGTCATGGAGATTGTTACTTAATTTGTTGTCTCATGGATATAATTGCCACATGCAGAATAAATTGCAACTTACCTTTTATACTTTCAAGATAATTGGCTATTCTGAAATAACTTGGGTCTTATTAATGATCCAAGAAAACCAAAGATTTCATTCTGTAGTTGTCTCACATGTTACCAAATTAACAATCTTAAGGATTAAAGGATTCTAATGAATGTAAAGCTTACTCTGCTAATAAGAAAGCAATGCCATTATTTGTCACATAGTCTTCTTCAAAAATTGATATACCAAATTTCTTTGGTATTCAGTAAATTTTTGTTTTGATTCTATAACTTGAATATTCTAAAATGTATAATGTTTTGCGGGGTTTCCTTAAAAAAACATATTTCTTGGTACTTTTAGCCTGATGAGAAGCCAACATTCTATTCAAGAAAGGTCAAAGCAAAATAAAACCTTTTGTGTCTGTGAATGGAAATATAATGCCAAGTGACTTGTGCTGATCTGATTTGCTGCCTTTCTGTTACTTGCTCTAATACTGTTAATATATCATTATGTAGTTTATTATTTCTTATTTCTTGGTTTTCAAGACTACCAGATTGTAAAAAGACTCTGGGAAGCTTACAGTTTTTAAAAGAATACATAATTTTTTTAAAAAGGCACATGACATATATGTCTAAATTAGAACAAAAATGGATTTTTTTAGATCCAGATATTGCTGTTCTCATTACATTTACTCGGCAGTAAGCCCTTTTGAATCTGGAGGGACTTAACCCTAATTACTCAGAAGTGAGCTGCAAGGTGATTTGCTTCCTGTCCTTGAGAAACTGGCAAACAAGAACAGTATTTTCCGAATAACATTTTTCTTTTTGTACATTTCTTTAGGATGATTGGCAGCATAAATCTTTAATCATAAATTATAGTATGCATGTTCTAAATCATAGCCTTGTGGCCTAAAAATGAAAGATTTTTTACAGTCATAAGTTACTTCCTTAAATGTTCTAGTTTCTTAAAACAATAACTTCACAGCACGCAGACACAACCATTTTGCACACTTGAGCTGGTATGTTAGTTGGTCTTGCCTCCCAAGTTAAGCAGGCATATTCAAATAGCTTTGATATAGCTTATCATAGCCTAGTTGCTCCTGAAATACCAACTCTGAGGTCTTGGGCTGGGCTGTCAGAAATCATTTCATGGTTATCCCCATTCAGATGGAATTGTTTAGAACAAGCTTCTGTATTAGTTGCAGTAACTGAATACACTTGAAGTATAGAATTTTTAGAATCCTGTAGATATGTTCCCATTTACATTTTGATGCAAAGCTCTGCCTTATATTTTAATTGTAAGACATTTGCTGGGTTGAAACAAAGACCTGTCTTCTCTAATATCTTAATTTCCCACAATGACTTAACTAGATACCTATGGAAAGTCCACAAACAGGACATGAGGGCGGCCCTCTTCTCATTGGTTCACAGCAGCTGATAATCAGAGGTATGCTTCATGTTAACCTGGAGATAGCAAATAACCTTCTCAATTTAATAGCCATTTATAATTTTATTCTCCATAAATTATTTAATCCCTTTAGCAGTGTTAGGTGTTAAAACTTTTGATTACTGGAAGATGAGGATATATTGCCAATCTTTCTAACTCTGTCCAACAAACAATAATAGATCTGATTGCACAACATTCCCTAGGATGTGAAATAATATTACATGAGTTAGCTTATCACAGGTATAGTTCCCATGCATATCTTCTCCATAAATATTAGAAGGTCAGGGTGGAAGGGATGGCACTAGAGCATGCATCCCTATCTATTTTTCACAAATTGAACTGACATTTGAAAGGTGCTGTTTCATACTACTATTTTGTGGGAAATTCTATAGTTTGGTTACTGTAAGAGATGATGTCTTATTAAATACATCGTCTTATGTGCTTTTTCCACACCATTTAATATGCTTTCAAGTATTGGTACGCAAATGCAGTTGCAACTAAAATTGGCAGATAGCTAGCACAGGTGTCCAAAAATGAGGTTATGGCTGAAACAAGATGGTAGTTTTTCTTCCTGTTCCTCATTCTAATGCTGTTCTAGTCCCAGGTTTCCAGAGGACTCTTAGCTTCTGAACACCAAATAGTGTATCAGAAGAAGCTACTTGCCATAAACCCCCACATTTTGTAGTGCATCATTAAATCTAACTCTAGTATTCATTTTTTGAATATTTTGTGCATATATTATAGTGGACTCAAAGGAGTCTATTGACTAAGGTGCCAATTAAAAACTATCTGTTGCATTGCAAGTAAATAGGTGATACATACAACCTTCAATTTAAATAAGCTTCTGTACCTTTTCTAGGCACTTAGAGTATTATTGGGTAGAGTGAAACAATGTGGACTGAAGTACTATTGAAGGATACAGCAAATTATTTTGCAGTCTAACTCCCAAAAAGGAAGAGAAGTTTGGATTAAGGAGAGTTTTAAAATGGTCTGCATGCTACACAGAAACCATTAAAAGCACCATTAGATACCTGCATTTTTAAAAATGACCGCTTGATTGAACATTCCTGGGGCCAATAGGTATTTGTTAATTCCCCAACAATATTGTTTTCTGTTCATATGAAATGATGTTAAGACTGTTTCAATTTTTTTTATTGTTTGGTATTAGAATATCAAAGATGGATGACAATTTGCAACATTTAATTCTCAGTTTATCTCTTTCAAAATGTACTGAACTGCAGTTCTCTAGTAGCTTAAAACGAAACTTAAATGTACTATGACTGTTTGCTAGTATCTGAAATCCAGAAGGCAGGTCTATCATTACCAGTAATTTCACTACATCAACATACCATGAATTGGGTGGTTGTAGTAAATGTGCTTATTTATATCATTTGTATGTGTACAGAACAGACTGCTCCAATGTTAAATACCATGTGTGTCTGAAGACACCATATACCTAGACAGACAGACAGACAGATCAGCCCAGAGTCATTGAGTGTCAAGTGGCATACAAGTTTTATATGTTGTTGTTGCTAATGTTGTTGTTGTTGTTGTTGTTATTATATAAAACTTAAAAAGGATCCTTCTATGATATTTTGAAGAAAATAGTATGAGAAATTGGGTAAAAACGTAACAAAATGAAATTAAGCAAGACAAATGCAAATTCAGTAAATTAAATAAATGCAGACAAAATAGAGTAGCACAAATACAGGCTAAGACACATATTTCTTTGAAGCAATAGTTGTGAAAAGTATCTTGACATTGTACTTGAACACAGATTGAGTGATTAAGTGACTAGAGCTACAGTTTTCAGATCATGGGAAGTAGAATTCCAATTCTTTTCTGTGCAAATCAGCTCTTACCTGGAAAACTTGTATTCACTTCTCGGAGCTGCAAATTTTAAGAAGTACAAAGACAAACTGGAATTTGTTCAGATGAGATGAAACAATACAATTAGTGTTGTGGAAAATGTCATTAAAATTTTGAAGGATGCTTAGCTGGTATAAGAGAGCAATGGGAAAACAACATTCCACATACAAAAGAGGACAAAAATTATTCTGTGGATCATGGATTTGAGCTAGATCACTTAAAAGGCTCTCTTCAGTACAGTAATTTTATATTATTTTATATTAAGTGTAAACATATCCACTCGCATGTACATAAAGTGCAAGCATCCTAAAACATTACTGTGCATGCTATGCCTTGTTAAATGTTTATTAGAGGATATGGCAATATTCTATGTTATAATTAACACATTTTATTCTTTTACAGATACCCTGGCTTTCGAAATTTCAGATAAATAATACTTGGCACATGAGAAAGTGTGACTTGAATCTTTTTACCAGGTTAATTTTGGAGATAGCCCAATAGAAGAAAGAAATTGTAGTGCCAGTGTATACACTCAAGACACTTGTACTTTCTGGTTTCTAAATCACTCCATGTCCCATATAAAAAAATCTGTAAAATTTATTTGAAACAAGCTGTACATTTGATTGAAAAATAAACAGTGGAATTATTTAATATCTTTGAAGTGATACAAGCCCATATAAGGACTTGATTTTGTCCACCATAACAATCACTCTGGAATTTCATACCATTTAATACATGGCAATTGCTTTAGCTAATTTTTGAACTGTTTTAAAACACAACTATTGTTGTGCCACAATATTAAATATACTATACTTACTCTTTCTCTTCATTTTCTCTTTTTCCAGGATTGTTTGGAGCCAAAATCCGTCTATGGTTGTATCCTTTGTCTATTTTTAATATACTCCCCTAATTTGCTTGCTGTAAAGGGAGTATGCATCTAGAGATCAAAGTTGCTCTGAACTTCATCATCTCATATCTGTACAACAAGCTTCCACGGAGACGAGCTGACCTGTTTGGTGAAGAGCTAGAGAGGCTGCTAAAAAAGAAATATGAAGGCCATTGGTATCCAGAGAAGCCTCTGAAAGGTTCTGGCTACCGTTGTGTTCACATTGGAGAAACTGTGGACCCCGTAGTGGAAATGGCAGCCAAGAGGAGTGGACTGGCTGTAGAGGATGTGCGAGCCAATGTCCCTGAAGAACTGAGTGTTTGGATTGATCCATTTGAGGTCTCTTACCAAATTGGTGAGAAAGGGTCAATCAAGGTCCTCTACCTGGATGACAGTGAGGGCTGCAGTGCAGCTGAGTTGGACAAGGAGATCAAGAGCAGTTTCAATCCTGATGCACAAGTGTTTGTACCTATTGGAAGCCAGGACAATTCCTTATCTAATTCTCCATCTCCGTCTTTTGGTCAGTCACCTAGCCCTACATTCATCCCACGATCTGCTCAGCCAATTACTTTTACCACTGCCACATTCGCTGCCACAAAGTTTGGCTCAACTAAGATGAAGAAAGGTGGAGGAGCTGGAGCAAGCACCAATGGTACGGGAGTTCCACAGCAGCAGCAACAACGTTTGGTCCGTTCACCCACCAATAACCTGCTGAAGCACAAAGGCCTCTCCCTGTCTATGCATTCTCTGAACTTCATCGGGGGCAGCCCAGCCCCTCAGTCTCAACTCTCCCCCAACGCCAAGGAGTTTGTTTACAATGGTGGATCACCAGGAGCCAGCAGCCTCTTCTTTGATGGGGTAGCCACTGAAAACCAGGCTGGTGGCATCCCTCCTACATCACAGTTCAGTGCCAGTGGTGGCAGCAGCTTTGACATGGCTCAGGTTTTTGGTGGAAGCACCAACAGCCTTTTTCTGGAGAAGACACCCTTTGTGGAAGGACTAAGCTACAATCTGAATGCCATGCAGTATCCCAGCCAGTCGTTCCAGCCAGTGGTTTTGGCCAACTGACCACCATATGAGTATTCTGGGGAAAATTACTTCCAAAAAAAAAAAAAAACCCTGAGAGAAAATAATTAAGAAATATTTGAAATCTTATAAATATAACTTCTTGGAAAGAGATGAACCCTAACTTCTTGTGTCATGCCAGGGAGCGCTGCTGAAGCACTGATTCTTTTTAAAACTTGTATCCTGTGCTCTTTCCTACCCATTGTTGTATGTTTAATGAAAGAGGCTATCCTTCTTAGCCCAGCAGTGGTTGGAACCAGAGTCACTTTATTTAATCTCCCATGCTGCTCATTGGAACTGGTCCTCAAATATGCTTGCTGTAAGGATGGCCTTGTTCGGGTGCTGTCATGTTCTTCATACACGGATGTCTTGAATTTTCTCAGTTTTTCAGGTGGCCTAGGGTAGGGATGGGAAATGATTAAATACCTCTGGTTGTGTAATATCTCAAGCACTTCCTAGGGGAGAGTTGTGATTTGTTTTCCTGTATATGAGCGGCATAGATGGTGGGATAAATTAGTTACATTTCTTAGAACTCTCAGATTTTGTATTCCTATAGCAGAACAGGAAACAAAGTCTGTCTTTGTGCTAACTGGTGATGACAGGGTCTTGCAGTGAAAATACTATTTCCCTGGAAATTCCTCTAGTTTCAGAAGAGTGCTAGAGGATAATGTAACATCTGGGACAGTATTTTGCCTCATGCTTCCTACAAGTCTCTTTTCTTCTCCCCCAGTCCTCTTAAAAGCCTGGACTGTGGTGGATTCTTGGGGAAGCTCAGTCCCAGTTGCTAATAATATGACATATAAATAGAATTCTATATGAAAACTCTTCTGACCTGTGAAACAGAATGATCCACGTATATTGCACTCATTCAAGAGTAAGGGTGAATGTTGGCTTTCTGGTGTTTTGTGCCTGAGCAGCATCTGTTGATGTTCCTCTGGATTAATCAGCTTGAGGTTTTTGCCAGGTTCTGAGCTCTTCTGATTGATAGCTGACCATTTGGTTACTAGTTCTCATGGAAAAGATGGTTCTCCTGCTTTCAAATATTATATAGCACTACTTTTGAGAGGGATGAAGGAGTTATTGTGTAGGCTACTCTCTGAGTGGATGGTAAGAGGGTTTGCACTTTGAATTTCACGTCTCCTAGGTCTTTTGACCAAAAATGTTACGATTTTTCATTTGAAAGGAATCAGGTATTGTATAGAAGAGCATCTCACATACCTGTTCCAACTTGAAGTTGTTCCATCTCAAGGCTCTGCATGGGGGATGAAGTGGGCTTGCCACAGAATATCCAAGTGATTTGAATGTGAAGAAAGTGTTCACTGATACAAATGTAGAGTCTCTCCTTCCTTATTATTGCTGGTGTGCTAGGAATCCCAGTTGTATTCTGTGTTTCTCCCTTTTTTCAGCAGGAGAGGATAGCCAGGAAGAAATAGACAATAGTGGCCTTCTAATGTTGATAGTTTTTGAAAACCAATTGACAAAATTTGCCTTAGATAGGAAATCTTCCCCATCTATGCCTTATGGAATGATTATGAGGTCCCACAGTTTACCTAGCTTATGGTAATAAGTGAGCAATCTTTTAAGGAGTTAACTGAGTGAGCAGTGAAGATAGGAAGAGGGAAAACTGATTGTGTATTCTGTTCAGGCAGACTTCACATTCTCCACTCTCTGCTCTCTTCTACAGCTCAGTTTGGGTTGTATTCAATCTTTGCAATTTCTCTGGCAAACTCTTGTCAAATAGATAAGCTAAAAGATGTTCTTCTAGAGCTTGACCTTTTAAGTCTCCCCTCCCTACTCCCTCAACCTAAATTAAGGATTCCTTGCTAGACTGTATATGAGCCTTAACTTCCAGATGCATCTATCCTCCAGAGAAGGGTAACTATTTTTAATGTTTTAGATATCATGGGTGTAGTTATGGGAAATGTTCCCTGCATAGGCACATTGTGGGATTGATGTGTAAGATATCTTAATATGCCCCTAAATTGAATCTTTCTTTGCTCCCTCCCCTTTCATAGGATGAGGAAAGAGGACACTAAAAGTATATCCAGCACTCTGCCTGTTTTCTGACGCACTCAGTGAATGAAGAGGGAAAGTGCACAGTAATATGAAAGGGTGAAAGTGCATGGGGCTGAAACTTAAAAACCTGAACAAGACAATTACAAACTGTTCAGCTTTACCGCATGCTTTCCCCAGAAAGTACCACTGCCACCCACTTACCCCTGTGGAGCGTATTGTAGACTGCCTAGCTATTACACTGGACTTGAACCACATCTTCCTCCCTGGGGGAGACTATCCATCTAGCATAATCTCCTTTGTTAATTTATTCCTGTAGCAGAGAAAGATGCCATGAACCCCACCTTTAGGGATTATATACCCTTCTAAGGTTTAGGATAATAGGAGGGAGAAAGCCTCACTAGCACCTGCAATTTGCAATGTTTGACACTGCTTTATTCTACTTGTTGCTTTTTGAAAAGAAGTCTACATGCACAAGGAGGAAAGGGGGAGGGACCAACCTCTATTTCCTAAAGGAACACGTAATGAACACATACTGTGCTTCAGAAGCATTTCCAGTGCTGACAACAATGAAACTCACGGCCTCTTTTTTGGTGGTCTTGTCTCAAGAGTTAGATGTTTGGCTTCAATTTTATTTTTAAGACCTGCACTAATTTACCTGGTTTCTTAGGAAGAAAAAAGAATTTTTTTTAACTTTTATTTTTATGGGTTTGTGTTAATTTTTTTGTTGTCTGTTTATATTGAATAATTTGCTACATTTGTAAAATGTAAGAGGTATATATAATATATGTATATTTCTAACGTAAAAAATGAAACTTTTCTTTTCAAAATTTTTTCTTAGAGGAGAGAAAAATATTTTTTCAGGAAAATTTTAAAAAAGCAGCAGTGAAAGCTCCTTTCTCCCCTCAATTCCCTCCTTCCTGACCCTTTTTGAAGAGTGAATCAACAACACGTGATCTAAAGTAGATGGATGAACACAAAGAGGACAGAATTATGTATGTTTTTTAATGCAGAGGTCCATGCTGTTCTTGTTCGTCTCTTTGGTTTTCTTGTTTTTGTTTTGTTTTTTACAGGCAGAGGGCCATTGAGTAGGGATTCAGAGGGGGTGGGGTTCTTTTTTCTTTTTTTCTCTAGCAAAGGAGGAATACAATCAGCGTTTTGTATTCAGAATGTTGTGCAATATTTTGGAACAGGACATTGGCATGTCTAAAGATTTAGTTAAAAACAACAAAGGTTGATCAAATCTGTACAGTTTCTATTGTTCCAGATTTTTTTAAGTTTGTATTAAAAGCATGATACATAATAGCTTCTTGTCCCTGTTGTTTGTACAAGCACATAAAGAATGTTTAAGGATGAAGAACAAGACTTTCTTTTGGGATTTGAAAGTAGACATGGTTCCAATTCTGTGATATACAGAATTGTGGGAAGTTTTCAGAAGAAAAACTTCGCTCTTTCTCTGAGATGCTCCCCATGGTAAGTAAATAAGGGTCTAGTTTTCCATATCCCCAAGTTGGGCTTGTTCCTGTTAATTAGGCTAAAATCATGAATAGATCTGATGTGAATCTAGATTATGACAATTCAAAGTTTTGCAACAGCTTAGTTTAAAAAAGTTCAAACAATGTACAAAACCTAGAAGATGCTTGTCTCAAATACACCTTTTTAAACAGAGCAACTCTGTTTATATGCAACTACATTCCACCAAGTTCAGAATAGGAATTCACATTTTGTGTGTTTTCATGTGAGACCATGATCTTCTGTAGAGAGTTGATTACATTCTTTTTTCCCCCAAATAATTAAGAATTATACATGAAAAGAATAAAAGCCAATGCAGGCTACAAACAATACAAACAGAAAAGAAGAAAAAAGTGTGAAAAGAAAGAAGTAACTTCCCCCTTCATCCCAGCAAGTAAAGACAATCCTAATAGCTTATCACTCTTTCTAAATACAACATAATCTCTCTCTACCCCGTATTTCAATTATTAAAAAAAAATCCAAATGCTTTGTCAGTCGTTATCAGCAAAAGTCCAGTAATGGCACCCAGATGTAACTACATTTTATTTATCGTATTTATATTCAACTTACATTTAAATCCCCCTTCAAAAAAAATCATCCCTTGCAACTTCTTCTGTAATTGTTCTGTAATTTCATTACAACATGCTCTGTCAATCTTGTCAAGAAATTCATCAATTTTGTCAGGAAGCTTGGCAGATAAATATTCCCAAGTTTGTATTATAGATTTCTGGTCCATTTTCTTCTAGGTCCCTAATATCCAACCTTCAAAGTCCCCTTATGAAGAAAAAAAAATACCATTTTTCCCATGGGAAAATTTATTCTAGTTAATTCAGAGCTCTTTGTGGGCATTTAAAATTACAATCTCAACTCATCTGAGCCCTTAATCTGTTGTTAAACTTTCTAAATCCATATTCTGAGCACTCTTGCTGTTTAATCCAAAAAGTAATATTTTTTCAAAAGGTTATAAAAATTGTATTTAAAAGTTATTTCTCTAAGGAGAAGGCAGTTCACCTAGCAAATACAAAATAGCTTGCTGTTCCAAAGGGTCTTAATCCTTTTAAAGCAGCAAAAAAAAAAAAAAACCGAAGTGATTAAAAAGTGAGGCTCAGTCAAACTTAATGTCCTTTAAAAAGCCTGTGTTAAGGACTGTGAGTAAAGATGGTTCCTCCCTTGACTCCCAGCTGCAGGACTCATAGGCAAACCGCAAAACGATTCTTGCGGTTTACTCACAAGTGGCTGTGCAGAGTCACATGGGCTATCTCAAAGATCTCAATCTGGCGGCCAGGATCCTGTATCCCATGCTGGTCTTCATCGTAATGCCATCCTGCTGCAAAAAGGGACATTTAGCTCACTATGGCGCTCAACTTCTTTTTTCTTTCCCTTTTTCTATTTTTCTTTTTTTCACACTTCTTTTGTATTTTTCTGTTTGTATTTTTTGTAGCCTTGTATTGGCTTTTATTCTTTTCATTTATAGTTCTTAATAAAATTATTTGGATTATGTTCTTGAGAGCTTCTGTTCTTTGGACTAG